TATAACCAGTCTAAATGTTTAATAAGCAAAACCAACTTACGAAAAATATTTATATGAATTTAATTACAAGTTGTTGATTCTATCTTATTGTTTATAGTAATGTAAATTAATTAAAGTTATATGATATCAGTTCAACGAATACAAATATAATTTAGATCAATATTTTAAATTGATTTTAATGGGCCCAACACTAAAAATTTGACAGGTTAAATGATTGATTATTCGGAACGTTGAGGTTTAAAAAATACAGGTGTTCAACTTACCCTAGTTTTTTTAGCGATATTTTAGTTTAATAAGTGTAGTAAAATATTCTGTTATAACTCTAACCCACTTTACAAGTAAGCAGAATGGAAAGATCATTAAGGCCATAAAATGTTTTTTCACCAAAGACATAATCGAACTAAAATTGTATTGTTTTCAATCTTACATAAATATGGTTCTGGATAAAAAGAGCGTTTTATTTAATTAACCTTCAACTTTTTTTTTTAAATTCCCAAATTATTAATTTTTTTCTAAACAATAATAATGTTAATTATAATTTAGAAAATTATTTTGCGTATAAATCTAGAAATTAAAATATATTAAAAAAACAATATTATTCTAAATACCAAGTGTACACATTTAATAATATTTATCTATTTAAGTTATCCAATACATTATATAAAAAAAAAATTACCACAATTATAACAATGTACTACAAATGGTTGACTATAGTTTTTGATACAAGACGTCTACAATAAACGTAAAAATAAATTTAATTTTTTAAATATTTACACTTGTTGAAGTTGTAAAAAATTAATCACGGTAAAGTTTACTTGTTTTATAATTACCATATATATTACCATTGAGTTATAAATCATTCGTTTGTAATAAAATAAAGCATTAAGCTTTAAAAACAGAAAAATTCCCTTACTTCATGTAAAACTAAATGCATTCATTTTTTTCATAGTGAAGTTAACTTATATCATATGGTTACCCTAAATAAAACATTGTTTTCATTATCTAAGCACGTAACCATAATTTTGGTACCCAGGTAATGTATATTATACGTGCGAATCCCTTTGCATAATATCTAAGTATGTTCATGGTATTTGCACGAATTAAGTAAAAACTTCCCATAACAATATTTAGCTTTGAATTTCGTTATCAATCATAAAGTATTATAAAATTTAACTAAAATTATACTTTATATATTATAAATTAACTTCTCATAGAACATATTTTAGTTTCATAATTAAAAAGTATTTATTTAAAAAGTACTTTCGGATGTTTCTGTAATTTTAAATTGAATTTTTATTATATACAAATAAACAATCATCTTGAAAATTGTATCATCATAACTGTTCTTAAAGATTTTTATTGTTTTTGGTTGATAATTGAATGATTGGCTTTATAAACATACTTCAAAAATTGATCTCCAGTGTTAAATAATTATTATATCACGCAATTAATAATTGTTGTGCATAAAATGAAAAAAAAAAATTTTCTATTAATTACTAACAGTTCTGAGTTAATTTTATAAATGCCCGCGTAATAAACATTATGAATCTCCTTTTACATTAATACATTAAATAGCCAAGTGGCCGTTAAGATTTACATAAAAGTTTATGTTAGACCCATACACAGCCGTTAAATAGCCTACAATACTGATAAATACAGTTTAAAGGACACCATAAGTTTTAGTGTTTGCAAAGTTCTCAATAATCTGTTTGATTCAAAATTTAATCGATTTTCGAAGGATAGTTTTAATTACCACTTGGCTATAAGTTATCACTAAAAGGCGAATCCGGTGTTTAATGATCTGTGAAATAATAAAAACTATGCGATTTTTAACACTTAAAAAAGTACAAATTACATCAATCTGAGCCATAGTGTTAAAATCTTTCCCCTTGATAACTCTCTAGTTATAAAAAGCGTTCTCAAACGATTTTGCTCACTATCCTTCTTCAAATCCCAAATGATCCCGTTACATATAAAAAAAAGTAAAGAAAGGAAAAGAAAAACTATTGAGTTGTTCGCCTATATACATATATAGGGAAGAGTACTCATCGCTGCACGACACCCTGAAGTACAATGGGATTTCACAGTTTTTCAACTCAACGTAGTCTGTCCATTTTATGCTGCACCGTTTTCATTGATAGTGTGAAATCTCGAATTTACTTTACTCACGACATATATCAACTAGATTTTTTCGTAAAGACGCGTTCAGGCGACAAAAGACGATTTATTGCCACCAACACCTGGATTAATAGGTTTCTTGGTACATCGCAGATTGAGGAGTATAACAACAAAGGAAAAAAAAACTGCTAGGAAAGCGGTAGGATTAAAAAATAAAAATTTGAAAAATGTATAATTTAATCTAATTTCTTTTCGACATTTAATAGATCTATTAAACGAAAATTGTTCAAAGTAACTCGAGTTACTTTGAACAGTAAACTTAAAAACTAATAAAAATCAATTTAATGCTAAAATGCAAATAAACCACAAAATTAATTATCTCAATACAATCGCAGATGAAATTCAAACAATAAAAGTAGTAATATTTAAAAACGTTAGCATTTGGAACACTGCAATTAAAATTAAAATTTATGCATTATAGGATTTAGTTATTTTTTACATCATACGTTTATTTAATTACAATGTAATTAAATGCCTAATCATTATAGTTTCTACAGTAGATTTCCATGTTATCTTATTTTATTGAATAATTTTTTTCTTTAAATTACTAATAATTATTTCTAAATAAATTTTTGTATTTTAACTTTAGTACATATTTTATTTTAATAGAATTTATGGAGATTTTAATGATTATTTTTGTTTTTATTTCCATTTTAAAATTTAATTTTATGTTTTTATTATTTGATTCCTCACGCAGTGCATGACTAAATTATGAGATTATGTGCTTTTACACAATGACGTACATTATTAAATCACTCAGCCGTATGTCTAACACAACATGGAGAAAACTTATTAAGAGCATAAAATATCATGTAAAAATGTGCAATATGTGTTGGCCACAAGGTAATCAAGATAACAAACTAAGCGGTCAAGCCTCTTGGATATTATAATTACTTGCTAAAGTTTAATATGACCTAAAGGTAGAAAAGTTTAATTAGTTCTATCAATTTTTTAAAAGCTTTAAACTAAAAGTGACTATTGGCCGTTCATGGTCTTTTGTATGAAATATATACGAAGTGATTAATTAACCATTAATCCACTCAATTACTTATCGAATAAAAATAATTTCGAGAAATTTTTTTTGTTAAATTTGTATACATTTTATTTATATACTATTAATGTTTCATAAAAAGGTATTAACTAACTGATAAATACAAAAAATATACACAGAAAAAACTCTACACTTATATTATAAATATTAATACACGTAATTATTTAGTTAGAAAAACTAAAATACAGTATGACTGAGCCAATTATAAAAAATAGTAAACTAAATTTGTTTAGAATTTCGAATAATGTTATAGTTAAGCTAGCTACATGAATTATTCTACCAATTTTAAATTATGTTGTTGATATATTAACCATATCTATACAATAGTTTTTCCCGTATATATAATTAATAAAAATGCTTCATAATAATTTCCCGAAATCCTTTTGATTCTATAAACAATTGATTAGATTATAATAAATGTATGGCCTTGTAGAGTTTACGGCATGTCGTTCTGTGTTTGTGCACGTAAAACATTAAATAGTGTTTAAGGGTAATGTTGTAGTACTCATTTGTTTAATAATAATTATGCGCACTATAAATGGTGATTGTACGAGTAATATTAGCATTTAATTTTATTGAATTCAACGATAAGAGACTTCATAGATTTTTTCTTAGAAAAACATGTATTATAAGAACTTCACATTCAAAATTTTAATGAACCCTAACTTGGTCGTTTCTGTTTACATCTTCTCTTGGGAGTTACCTGAATAATAAATTGCCGGTGCCAAATCTCTTGCACGAACATACACTTACATGAAAGGATTATATTATTATTGTCGTGCTTGTGACAGTTTAATTAATACTTGTCTATTGTTCGTTTCTGGGCGTTTTTGTTTTACATAAGGATATAATTATTGTCACATGTATGACGTATACTTTATAATAGCTGTGGAATAGAACGTAGGAGATTGTGTTATCTAGTATTATGACTGTTATTTAGGAGTTCCCGATATAGTTTGTATAATATCTTTTGTCGATATCAAAGTTACTAAGTAACTGTTATTATTTATTATTAGAGATAAACTAACATGTCATAAAGATTCAAAAGCCTTTTCACGATTAATTGATTCATTTTTAATTTCATTTATTGATTCATTTTACGGAATAAATTCCATAAAATATATTTGGCAATTGAGATACGCTAAATATTTTGGATGTCTTGTATCAGATAATAATCAATGATGGTACCATTACTAAGTCAGTGTTCGGTACGTTTAATAATTGTGGAATTTGATTGTAGATAATGTAAGATTCGTACTTAGTATATTTGCAACAAATGGAGTTTAGTTTCTACACGTTTTTTTTGTCTTGTATTTATTATACTGATTATAAATTTGCAACAAAAATGTAAAATGATTTGAAAAATACCGAAAAATTAAACTTAAAGACTACAACGAAGGATTAAACGTTACCAAAATTACAATCTTAGTTATAGGTACTTTCGATTTAAGTACTGTCTCTTTATTAATCGACGATAAAAAAAATAATGTAAAGTAGTTTTTCTATAGGAAGATTAATAATGGAGTTCGATTAACCTGATAACATCGTTTTATAAATTATAATTATAGTACTGTAATTTTTCAACTATTTTTAACTGTCATTTTAATTTTGCAAATTGGTAATCAGTGTAAAACACAAAGTAATTTTAATATATGTATGAATAATCGTGTGGGGGCTAACTGTATTTATGTCACATTAACAATTTTATAAATACAAAAGAACGATTTCCATGTTTGATCGGTAAGGATACTATCTTAAAAGAAAATCAGAATTATTAAATATCAGTATTATTTACTCTTTTTTTAAATATTTTTTACATATTCGATAGTACATAATACTCAGCCTTAAAACATATCTATATGCTGTGGTATCCAACATTCTCACATTGTGTTCATGATATGAGATTCAACTAAAAATAAGAATTAATAGAAGAAAAAAAATTCAAGATCTGTTCATTTTTAATAAAGAGTAAATATTTTTTTGTATGATCCTCAAAGTAGCCCTATTTTGTATAAATATAATTATAAACTTAATATTTGTATAATCATTTTATTTTTCAGTTACCTTAACTTTTTTACACCTCAATTTAAATTAATTCTATGATATTAACTAAACTACAAAGATTTAATTTTTAATATTAACGATAAATACTATTAGGACAGAAATTTGTAATTACTTGAAAAAAAATATGTTTTTTTTTGTTAATAAACTATTCATTCATGAAATATTTCTAAATGTTTATAATTTTTATAGTCAATCTGTGATTTTGTTAAAATATATTTTTCATAGAAATATTTCTGTGACAAGTTATTAAAATGTTTCTAATATTTTATTTTTTCAAAAATTACATCTATTTTTGCAACGTTTAATAAAAATTTCAGTAAATTTAATTTAATTTTAAAACTAATGTGTTATTTTTATAAATGAAAAACAACTTTTTGAATTATTCAGTTAATCTCATAAAAAATGAATAATCAACCAATTTAATTACAGTTAAACATTTCAGTCCATAAAATATTTTGTAAATTCATAACAAGTTTTAAAACTTATAACACATGCATTGTTAGCAGATTTATTTTTATAAAACTAAGTTAATGAAATTCGTATTATATTTTTAAGAATGATATAATGTCTTATGGTTTTTTGAAGTATTTGTTTTCTGGATCATATATTTTTGTAAACTTATCAAATTCTTCAGGTTTTTTAGCTCTTATTTTTTCAATTGAATTGTACATTTTTGTTTTTTGAGCATCGCTACAAGTGGAGCAATTATCTTTAATCAATTCCGGTAATACTTCTGTAAAACAAATGTAAAGCTAAATATATTAATTATTAATTGGAATGTACTCCTAATTTTTTAAAACTTTTATATTTTTTATAGGTATAAGGCAATAAATTTCAGTAAGAATTACTTAAAATAAAAAATAACTAATATTTTTACATAGAACCCTATTAATAATATTCAAATATATCGCCGTCTTAATGCAAATATTCAATGAGAGTTACTTTTGTAATTTATTTTTGATTTTCAATTATTGCCATTAAATGTATAAATATATTATTTTTATTTTTCATAAAAATGCTATAAATATTTTAATTGTTTTTTACATTGCCTTAACAAAATAAAGATCAAATATTTGTACATCGTAAGTTCATAAATATTAAATTAAAAAAATAATTATAACTGTTAATGAGTTTCCGCTCTAAGTCAACGATATAACGTGAAATCAATTTAACTAATATAAAGTTAATATATAAACTATTACAAATATGTAATACTAAAACGCAATTTAAAATCAAAGAAAAGTAATTTTTTATTTTTAATTTATAATGGATCATCAATAAGTAAGTATTTTTTAATCAATATTCAATTAGAAATCCCATTTAACTTAACTTTTACTTCGTATTAACGATGAAACACTCAGACTTTCTTACTTCCGTTAGATGTAAGTTACATTCAAACTTCACATAACATGTTAACGAATACTCATTGAACATTCTTATAAATGTCAAAGTGTAACTTCTTTGTATTATCTCAAAATAACATGTATTTTACGTTCAAATTATTTAAAATTGGAAACATTTCAACTTTTACTACTTATAAGCCATTCAAAATGTAACAACATTAAATTAGCTCTTAAAAAGGTTCTTATGTAATGTTAAATTATAAATCACACTATTGAAATATATATTTAGACAAAATAGCACTTCCTAATTCTACTTTTAAAATTTCTTAATGTGATCGTATATCACTACCTAACACATTGGGTATTTTCTATTATTTATTTCATTGTTATTTATATTGGGTAACTAATAAATTATGCTATTTTTCGAATTGGAAACAATAGTAATTACATATTTAATTATAATAGTTAAATCCAGAATTAATGATTCATATTAAGTAGAATAAAATAGAGTTATTGTAAACAAAAATAAAAATTTTAAACTAAATAAACAATCATGATTTGAATATTAAAATACAGAATAAATTAGATCATTTTCATCGGCAAAATATATTGGTTTAACAATTTTTGAACTTATTATAAAATGTTATGAAATCAAAAATGAAGTGTTAAAAAAATAATCTGAACAATTTTATTAATGGATGGATTTTATCTAAATTCTTTCATATAGATCCATAAAATTTATTTTATTATAAAATTAAAGATAAGTATTACAAATATATGATTTATTGATAAACATTACATATAAGATAGTTGGTATATTTCATATTAAATTATAAAGGCTTAAATTATATGTAGTTAAAAATAAATGAATGTTCTATGAAAATCTCAAATGCGTATTTATGGCAATTATTGTTTGTTTAGAATTTAACTGATCATTGGAAAAATAAAAAATAAGTTTTATTGTTAAACAGCTTTATGCTTTATACTTAAAAAATATGAGTTAAAAGACATAAAAATAAAACGAAATACTATTTTTTATTTATTAACTTAAATGAGTAATTATATATATATATATATAGAGTGATTCACTTCTATAAAACACTTGACTAATCGAAAAATATAATTGATATTAATAATTTTTTTTGTGGTTTCTTTTAGTTCAATGTTTCTCTTAATTCATCAATCATTAAGTATTTTTTATGTTTTTTCCTTATATCTTATAAGAGTGTCAACTTTAATTTCTCAAATAAACTAATTTGTTTCATAGATAATATTCTAATTAAAATAACAATTTTTAGATCAGTATTTCGGAAGTTATTGACATGTTTATACCTAGACAGGAGAAGAGTACGACCAGTATATGTCTAGTTATAAAAAATCTGTATCCATCCTTCACCTCCAGTCATTAATTTAAGTGTTAAGTTAATTATCCTGTATATATGTATACTTATTCACATTTACTTAGAATTAGTGGGGGATTATTAACACCAGGAGAAAATTTAAAGTATTTCATAAATAAAATATTTATTATTTTAAATATATATTTAAAGTACATATTATAATAGAGTTAATAAATCAAAATTACCTTAAATTTAAATTAAAAATTGTTATTTGAATAAATAAAAAAAAAAATGAAAATAAGTTTAACCCACGTCACCCTTATAAAAAAAACAGTTTAAGTAAACTTCGATACATTTAGTTATGTAACTAGAATATTAAGAAATGTATTATTCCGTATTGGGAATATATTTTGATAATATATAGTAATCAATCTAAATAATTGAAATAATATATTCAAAACAATCAAAAAATATTTATAGTGCAAACATTTTCAATGTGTATAAAAGTTACAATTGTAAACTTACTTTTTAGATCCTTAAATTGTGAAACACACGGTCCTTCGTTTAAGAAACATTTGAAGTGAGTATTCATTAATCTATCGTTGCTGATAAGTTCATCGACATTAATAGTATCCATAATTTTCATATACTTTTTTAAGTCGTCTTGACTCAACTTCGTATCTTCTTTTGAATCGCATATGGAAAACGACGGAAAAATTAAAAATACAAATATTGTTATCACTGAAATATCAAACATTTTACGGTACATTTTGATGAAAGATAAAATTTATACTTAGTAAAGTGTTTTGCAAATTTATGAAACTTCTTTTTGTTCTGGTGTGTTTATATACAAATATTTTGTCAAGGCTTTGAGATTAATATCGTAAATTAATGTAGCTTAAATGATTTGACTTATTAAATGTAATTGACCACTTAAAAATTTTATTTACGCGCTTTTCTTCAAATATTTGTACATATATATACATTATGTAATCAGTTTACGAATTTAGTTTACAATATTACTGGGTAAGCTTACTAGTAATAATTAGATGATTAAAAAAAATTTTAATTGTTAAAGGGAAATTTAAAGATTTTATAAACTAAAAAAATAATGGACCTGGAAAAAATAACCTGGATTTTATAAAAACATATTTTTTGGAAAATTCAATAAATATGGAATGTATAATATTTTAAATATGAGCTTAATTAAAAACTAAAAAGGAGTGAACAGTTTTAAAAGTATATAATTTTTTTGACTAAATTGAATATGTAGCTTAATAAAATTTATTTAGCTACATATTTTAAGCTACCATTCTACATTAAATGTGAAATAGTTGCTTAAAAAACTGTTTCGATACAATTTACTTCTAGATTGAAATAAAACGTTATTTTTATCTCTTTTTATGTTAACATAGATAAAACAATAAAAAAGCAATGAAGCTATCGAAAAATCCTTCAATACCACTATCGTGAAAATACTTTTATTGATTTTTTTGTGAAATACAAATTAAGAATTATTATCTTGTACATATTTAATTGTTATCCATTATGTTATTAGATGTTTTACTTCATGTTAGATTTTAAATTTCAACAGTAATCGCACTAAGTACAATTAAAATTTACAATAATACTAATAAAAAAGTTACTATAATACTATTAAGTCATAATTGTATTATTGTAACTCTTTTACATTTATCTTATTATTATTACTCTTGAAACCCCTGTGTTTTTTTACTTGAATATAATTCAATAATATGCTGACACGGATGTATTTTCTCAACTGTAAATCTTGTTTACTCATCTAAATGATTTACTCGCTATTAAAATCTTAATTGATAATTGAGATAGACACTATGTTTCTGTCACAGAAGATAGCCGTTTGTTTCCTGGACAATTTAGTCGTTAATTTTCTTGCTAAATTGCGTAGGTTGTAGAAAATCCTAATGCGAGATAACTGCTCTTGTCTAAGATTTCTTATTATTCACAAACATTCAACTGAGTTTTAAGGGAAAAAGCGCACGTATTGAGGATTATCATCATGAAAAAGGTAAAGTGATGGTTTGTACACTAACATTAATAATCCAACGACCACGAATAAATTTTGTTAAGTAAAATTATAATAGTACAATAACGATACGATAATCTAAACTGACAACCTTTGGTTAGAGTTTAGTAGCAACAGCTGTAATCTTCGAGGAACATTATGCTTTGTTTATTGTTACTATCAAAATTCCATGGCCGATCACCGTCGTATGAATATTGATAAGATAGTGATGTACACCATGTGTTATAAAAATACTGAATATTATTATATTTGTATGGAATGGTCCAGAATTTTCTTTTAGTTTCATTTTATGGCCGTATTGATTTATCCTTTGTGTGTAAAAACATTATAGAAACATAAGTGGAATTTAAATGAGAGTTTTAAGAGATTTAACTAGTTTCTTTATTCCTTAAAAATATTTCAATATAAATTTACGTGCAATTTTCATTTTTTTTTTTTTTTGGGTGCAATGCGACAAAATTAAAGAGGCTCCACTAGCTAGAAATGAGTTTAGACTCTGACGGGTCTAGAAATCTGATGGAGTCTAGACTCATCCAGATTGTATTTATACAGAGTTATCTTATTAACGCAAGTCACTTTATTTCTCTTAAAGTCATAATTATCATGAGAAAATAATTTTTGGTATTTTTTAGTTTTTTTTATTTATCATCTATTAACTGCTTTTTTANATTTATCATATATTAACTGCTTTTTTAATTCATCCCATATACCTTAATAAGGAGGTCAATCTTATTTTTTTTAATGGCAACACTTTATTTACTNTATTTATCATCTATTAACTGCTTTTTTAATTCATCCCATATACCTTAATAAGGAGGTCAATCTTATTTTTTTTAATGGCAACACTTTATTTACTGAAAATTATGTTATTTTTGGCTTTAATAACCAATAACTTTTAAAAATCGAGATTCAAGTTTTTTTTTTTAATTTCTAATAACATTGTATTAACTTTTATCTAATGTAGATTTAAAAAAGAAACAATGTCGATATAATTTTTAAATCATTCTAGCATCTTAGTTAATAATTGAATTTTTAAATAAAATGTGTCATCGGCAATGTTTATGTCAACAGTATTACCAATAAAAAATTTCTAATCTAGAAAAAAGTGGGTATAAATTATTGTAATAAATGTTTGTAACTCATTAAATATTTGTCATATGACCATAAGTCATTTTTGTAAGAAAAATACAAAAAACTATTTATTTTGAAATGTTGAAAAATTTTAAATTATAACATTTTATTATTTAAATAAAAATTATAAAGTATAGGATTTTAACGTAGCCTTAGAATACGTAGATAATTTTTTTTATGCATTAATGTATACATTACAGAAAAGAAAACTACAGCGAGTTGTTAATTGTTTCAAAAATTATACAAGTTAAATATGTAATACCTGTTTGAAATTTTATTCAAAACAAAAATTTTCCTATCTTTCAGGGTCAAAATTTAAGAAAATATCTATTGTTTGTTTATTTTTAAATCTTTTTGTACCTAGATATTTTATTGAGAATAATTTAAGTAATTTATCCCGTCACTTTAACTAATATGTATACTTTTTTAAATTAAAATTTAATTGTATGCGTTAAAAACTTAAATGAATGGAAATTTACACATTTTTTTAGAATTTAAAGTTAATATATATCATTCTTACAACATATAAATATAACCACAGATAGCTTTATTATTATTTTAAAATTAATATAGAATTGTAAGGTTATAAACAAAAAACAGCTCATTAAAATAAAAAAATAAATCACATCATAGTAAAATTGATATCTTCTCAGCTTCGCATCGAAACTAAAAAAATGTCAATTATAAATAATTGTATGAATATAAAATATATAAATAATTAGATGAATTCATTTTTTAACCACACTTTAAGTGTTTTAAAATATAAAAAAATATTTAAAATATATTAACATGAGAAATTTTTAATATTTCATAAAATATTAATTTTAATATTTCATAAAATATTAATATTATTATTTTAAAAAAATATTAATTTTTTTTTAATTCTATGTAGTTATATAATTATATTTTTTATTTTAGTTTAGCTTTAATTTTTCTTTTACTGATGACTGTTATCATACATTAGCCTTTGATGTCTTTGGTTCATTTTGATATCATCTATTTGAATTACTAAATTACTTAAGAAATATAATTATAGAAATAACTTAATAACTTGGAAGGAAGTGTTTGTCAATGACGTTAATGAAGGTGTTATTTTACAGTTCAACTAATTTCATGAAAATGGTAAAAATGATTTTAGACAGATAAATCTCTGATGCTTGTAGAGAAGAATGAACAAGTTGACAACCTCAAGGCTCAATTAATTATCTTAGAGAAATTATTTGCCATAAAATTGTCTATTTTGAAAGAAAAATTCTTAAATATAATGAGAATAATTGGTAATTAAATAACAACTAATGTAATATGTGATTTTAATTTTGAAGCTAAAATAGTTTGTGTATACATGTTGCTATTTTAATACCAATTCTATAAATAGAAATATGGTCAAATTTTCAAAATAATATTCCTTAAGAAAAGGTATTTTTAAAAAAATTAAGTTTGGTCCATAACTTTTATTCAAAAATATAAATTTTCTTTAATTATGAGGCTAAGGAGACTTTTTTAAATTTATAAATTAACAGAATTTAGAATTTGTGATCAAAGGTAAACATTAGAATAATATTGATTCATTAGTTGAATATTAAATGTGACAGGTGAAAAAATGATAAATTGTATTAAAATTGATACTGTATTAAATTGAACGAATTTTTTTTTTTTATGATAATATTCATTATTACTTAAAACTTGATTTTATAGCGTAATTAAAAAACAGTTAATTAGTAATTTGAGTGCAAAAATATATAAGATATTATATGTATGTTTGAAAGCTATCACTTAACTGTTAAATCCATTGAATAATAGAGAGACAAACAAATACCATATTATTAAAAGATTTTAAGTCACAATATATTTTAAAGATATAAATAATTAAATTATAGTTTACAATATGTCATCTCTGTCTTGTTTGGGGTTATATATTAAGTACTTACTATATGAGTCATATATATAGCAAGGCAAATCTCTTTTTTTTCTAGAGAATTTTTTTGACCAACAATAATATCTCTGTATAAATAACTTATTTTAAAATTAACAAAAGAAATGTTAGTGCCATACATTTATATGACTTTACTTTATTTAATTAAATAACTTGATTTATCAGGCATGTTAAAATAATTTATAATATATTTTGAATATATATTCGAACATTTCAACAAAAAGTATTTAAATACATACTAGTTAAAATACTTTTCAATTGTATTATTTATACATTAAAATAATTTTTTTTAATCATTTATTTTTATTATTTTTTTAGAAAAAATTCTTCCTTTTCTTCCTCGCCTTAATCCCAACTACTTGGGGTCGGCTAACCTTATCCTAAACTTCCACTTGACACGATCTCCCACATCCTCTACGCTCACATCAGCTGTCCTCATATCGCATTCAACAACACCTCTCTATCTCTTTTTTGATCCTCCTCTACCTCTTTTTCCATCAAAATTAATTTCTACAACTGTTCTGACGGCTTCCGATTCTTCTCTCCTCATAACATAACCAAACCACCTAAGTCTATCTTCTCTAGTTACTCCACTCATCCATCTAAGCATTTTCATCTTTGCTACAATCATTCTCTGCTCTACTTTCTTATCAACTGCCCAACACTCTGAACCATACATAGCTAGTCTCACTACAGTTTTGTAGAATTTACCTTTCAGCCTCATTGAAATTCATTTATCGCATAAGACACCAGACGCTTCTCTCCACTTCAAATTTTTTTAGACAAAATTAATTTATGAAATTTGTGAACAATAGCAGGGTAGTTATCTCAATATTAAAAATTGTTAAAATTATTTCTTCATAAATAAAATTTGTTCTCGTAGACCAAAAAATGTAATATTGTTTTTATGCCTACGAAAAAAATTAATTATTCAAACAATAATATAGTTGTGGAAATTTAAGGCTATATAAGATTTTCATAAATAAGTTTTGCACATTCGTTCTCGGTGCAAGTACTTATATAAGGTAAAAATTGAAACAATAGCCTCTCCGAAATTGGCCACTTTAATGACAATTTATTGACTGAAAAAAAACTGACGATATAGGAAATAGTTAAATTTTCTCGGTACATTTGTTCTAGGATCCACATCTGTATCAACAACGGAAAGTTTAACTGCAAATTAAAAATATGTGTCAGTCCTAAAATGTGTTGATACTTTTGTTTTTAACAATAAAATAATATACAACAAAAATAACGTGATCAAAGTAAAAAGATTTAATATTTCAAATAAAAATTGTAAAAAAAAAAGTATTTTAAAAATATTTAAATACAAATAATTAGATTTATTTTTACATTTTATAATCCTATAATACTTTAAAATCAAATTGAATATAATCCATTTATTTAAGATATTTCTAATATCTTAAATTATTTTTCCGGCTAATCAAGTTATTCGTTTATTTTTCAATTATATCTTCCTTTTATATTATTTAAAATATATTTTTTTCTAAATATTTGTTGTCAAAATCATGTTGTCTGTTACGTCTTCAATTTTTCCTTTTTTCATTCTAGGTTCTTAGTTTTTATTACATAATTATAGTTTACCGAATGATATTTGGTTATGTAAATACACGTACACTTTGATTAAAACGTTTTGTACAGTTCTTGTTAACGGCAGGCGATCCAATGCAGCAACAGCATAATAGCACAATAGGGCCGGTTATGCGGGGCGTGTTTGGTTTTGAAAGATTTATTGGTCTCCATCTCCTCCTCTTGCAGATTTTACTGAGCCTAAAAACAGTGTTTGGCGGTCGATAAAAAATAAAATGTTTATTTGGCCAACTTACCTGCAATCATACTAAGACAAAAACTCAAACCTCAACTATGACAATAAATCTTTTGTTTTTATTATTGTAATAAAACCGAAAGTAATTTTCACATAACTTACAATGCGACTTACAATAAACTTGTAATATAGCAATACTTGCATAATATATTTTTTACATTTTTTTTTTTTTTTTTTACAGAGTTGTTATCACTTTTGATATGAACTATTTAAGCACGCAAATGTGATCAAATAGTGTCATCGGTTAGTGTCCTTTTAGAGATATGGCATGCATCTCTACTGGTCTTAGAGCATGGACTGGAATCTTCATAATCATGCCCATGTTACTGTGCGATACAGGTAAACTGTGTTTTACGTTTCAATTATTTGTAAAAATTAAAATTAGAATGTTTTGAAAATTCAAGTTTATGGAACTGAAAAAGTACGAGACAATATTTTTTTAAACCGATAACAAACGGTCTATTCTATTTTATTTATTTATTGAGTAAACAAACATATATATATATATATGATACATTCAATTTTGCTATAGTGTCTATAATAACAATTCAATTAATTTTCTACCAACGTCTTCAATGAAGTGAAAGTCTATCAGCGTTTACGTTATTATATGAGCGTATACGCCGGCGGGGGTTCGTTCTAGAAAAAATTTTAATTAAACTTAACCAGGACTTCGGGCATTGGTTGCTACTTTTGAGCAGGGTAAATACACACAAGCGTCGAAAAAGTTCATTCCGATAAAATTAATAAAAACGCCCGAGTAGCGGAGTTGGATATAAACTAGCTCAATTACTGGGTCGGGGGCACGTCAGAGGCGCTTGCAAGACGTGTCTGGACCTTTTGAACGTGATTCCGGCCCCACAGGATCTGTACAAAATGAATTTTTTTTTTATGTCCTTAAAATACGAACTTAACGGAGCGTTGATAAAACAGGCTGACAGTTGTGCTCGTGAAATTCGTTACTTGCCCGTAAACAAAACGCGTTGAATGCCATTCTCGGGATACGCTAAATAACATTACCTAAAAATAAATACGAACATGATTCATACAAGTAATAAAAGTCACTTGGTCCGTTAAACAGATAAATTTCCATAATGTTGCTAAAAAATATGTGTAAAATCTATATGACATTCATCAAAATCGTTTGCTTATGAATCTTTATTTTAGTCATAATATTGCAAATAACTCAAGTTCATACTTTTTAGACTTGAGATTTTTGAGTATTGAAAATATTTTATTCCCGTTCAATTAATATTTACGGACAAAACAGAAAAATCCAAATGTTCACATTAGTTTGAAATACGAACCAAGTGTATTTTTCGCTAGAAGTAGAATTTAAACTATCAAATGATAATTTTAATGTGTTACATCTATTTTCCGATTTTGGGAACACTTATTTAATGATTAACACAATTCTAATACATATATATATATATTCAATAATAATTTATATAAAGATAAATCACCTTACTTAATAAATTACACTTGGCACAAACAAAACTATTGGTAATTATTATTAAAATAATTGTTTCTAATCACTAATTCCACACGACCAAACTTTCAAACAATACTGTCAAATAGTTTGATGTTAATTATCTCACACGTGACCAATATATCAACCAATAAATTTAAAAACTCGCCCCCTCTCGTACTTGCATAGTTTCGATATTTCTGTTTAGCACTTAGTCGAACGTGACACGAGAACTCCATAATTTTAAAGGAAACTTTTAGGCTGCAAGCCGCGTTGGGGATTTCCATCGAACAACAAACAACGTCCTCGTGTGTTTCTGTAAACTTTGGTAAACGAGACTGTCGAATTGTTCACAGCTCTCATTCTACAATTGTAATTAAAAATGAACATTAAAAGTTTCAATGATTCCACTGGGTACACATGCATCTGCAGAGTGTCACTATCGTTAATCAGTTTACTCTCCAGGTAGTTTGCATAAATTCAAGTGAATCTGTTTCTCGAATTAAACATTTAACATTAGGCAATTTATCTCGTTAATTATTCATTCCAAAAACGCTAAATATCTTATTGTCTCGGCAGTTAAGGAAATAGACACGTCTAACTAACCTTGATGAGTTCATAATAAGTTTGACGAGAATTATACCGGTTAATTACTACGCCTGTGATTTTGTAAAAATTGTTATATAATTACATGAATTTCTTTGCGTAATTTCTTAGACGAACAATTCTTAAAAAAGACACGCATAGTTAAATTTTTTTAATATTACAAAAGTAAATTAGTCAACAATAGTCAGATAGTTTAATACTTTTATTCAACTAATTAATTATATAAATATTATTCATTGCATATTTTTTATGTTCAGAAAGTATTACACGTATTTACGGAAGCCATTGTATACGAACGTAAGACTCCAACTGTTGTTGTTTTTTTAATATTATGGAATGGTTTTGCTATGATTAATTTAAAAGTAATTTTAATTAATATTCTGTACTTTGATTTTTTATGCTTGAAATGTTAGCATTGTATTATGATGGTATTGTAAGAGATCAAATAAACTACAAAAATTGAATAAAATTGTACAGTAACTTCTACGTACATATGCAAATACGTATAAATTAATTCGTATAGAATACTATTAAATTTACATTTTTCATAAACATAATGAATTTTAAAGGAATATTTTGTAAAAAAAAAAAAAGTTTAATAGTCATACTTCAGGTAATAAATGATTCTAGTTTTTCACCGTATCTTGTTTTTACATATCTATACCTAATTATTAGGTATAGAATTTACATTTTTTCATGTAATAGAAAAACAAAAGATTTTTTTAATAGATTTGTTTGTAAAATGACTAAATGACATTGGTCTAGTGCCTACCAACGTTATCTAGGACTTACTATTGTGTTTATAAGTATAAGTATACATTTACTATAGTTTTATGCTGGACATATGAAGAGCAGTAGTTAAAATCATCAATTAAACTATTTGAACAGTTTACATACATACGAGTAATATTTAATAAAATACAACAGCGCAGAATTTTTTAGTTTATTTTTTAACTTTATATAAAACTTTCGTGGTATTTTTTGCATAATACTAAAAAAAAAAAGTTTTTAAATAAACGATAAGCTTTAACCAAAAGTTCGCAATTGTATTAAACTTTTTAATCCAACCAACAAAAAAGTATAAGTTTCATTAAATTTTATTGTTTATGTTGTATTATGTACAAAATTTGTATACATACGTATACATAAATACTTTTTAGTATTTAAAAGTTTTTTTAGTTTTGTTTAACATGATACTATTAAGCCTCAACTAAATACTACTAACTTAACACAGTGGTCAGAATTTTAATTATAGAAATTCTACCGAGTAGTTTTATGTTTCATTCAAACCTATGAGGTAATTTATCATAAATAATAAAATTGAAAAAAAATAATACATATTTATGCAACTATTTGGCGTCAAAAAAGTAGCATAAGTTATTGTTTCTGTGCTAGAAGATTTATCATTTTTAAAAGATCGTTGAGCTAAATTGAAAAACCAATATCTTTAACCGCTGTGAAAAATATTAAAGGTAGTAATAATTTTACAAGTGCCCTGAACTGCTTCAACAACAAAAAAAAAAAGAAACTATATTTTTATTTTTTGCTTATGTAAAATACAACCGTTTGTCAGTATCTTTTACAGTGAGCAGTTCTGAGTATAAAATTATAATAATTTTCCGTGTAAGTTTACATAATGTCGATTCAATCTGGTGAAGCTTTACCGTGGAGTCTTATTTATCACAATTACCTTCGATGTTCAAACCTATTTAGCCGGTCAAATAACACACTACTAATACTCGTTGACCGGCTATATTTTCCTTATCCCTTTTACGACGGTCTTTGCTTAAATTTTTATAGACAAAATAAATTGAACGTTGACGCAGTAACTTGAGAAAAGTTTATACGAGTGACTATAAAAAAATTTCCACCCTACAATTATTAAGTGAACGAAGACGTTAAACTACTGTAGACATTTTAACTAATAATTAATTAATTTTTTTCTTTATCCTTAATTTTACTTACATGGTAAAATCATTAATTAACAAGTAATTTTTTAAAACCAATGTATTTCATTGGATTTGGTTCATAAAGGTCTTTATCACATTTATTTAATTTTGGGAAAATTAAAAAAAACTTCTTAGTTCTTCATGAATTTAATATTTATTAATGATTTTTTTTTAATAGTGTGCATATAGAAATGAGTGACAACGATTCAAATTTCTTTCGACTCTAAATATTATAGTTAAAATAATAAAATATAACAAATTAATTGAACTACGATCCCCTTATTCCCTAAATGAATATAGGTGTGATAAAAAGTCAATTTCTTGTCAAAATTTACATGGAAAACATAAATAACAATAATTGCAAATTAATTAGTTCTAAATTTTCATCTTTATCCGCAATGTTCGATCAATTGATGAGTGATATGAAAAAAGACATGTGTTTCTTTGAAATGTAACTACTCGGTTATCTACCTTACTTTTCTTTAGAATGACTTTCCCTGTGGGGTAGTCATTTTGAATTGGAAATTTCAACACAGTATACGTCTTCATGCTGAATGTATAAAAAATTAACTCATCAATGAAAGGATAAGCCTTTACCACTCCTGGAAACACACTGTTGTAGGTAAAGTGATGAAAACTGCTGATTCCAAAGTATACCTTATCTTTTTTTTCGTTCTCTTGCCGCTTGTTTCAACAGATATATGATTTCTCTTAAAATGTGTAGTCCACCCACTTTTTGAAATCTAGAATTTCTTTGTCCATAATGATTGCTCAAGTACAAAATATCAATTGATAGTAAAATAACACTACATGTTAATAAGAAAGATGAAATAAAAATAAGAAATAACACAGACAGGATATAGAAATATGAAATTTAGTAAATTCATGTGACCTTCGAAGGAACCTTAGTTCTTTCTCGCATGAATTGAAAAACCAACAAGCTGTTTTCTACACCAAGGAATGTCTGAAGGAGGTCTTTTTTAGCATAAAACGTTGAATCTACACCCTAACAGTAAAAATTCACGATTAAATTATTTTTGCCAAAAATAGCGTAAAGACCTTTTTTACAAGAACTAGATCATTTGTATTGTTAATTTTCCTCATGAAGAATAACTTATAAAAACATAAAAATATTTTTGAGCTTTTTTGAACTTGAAAAGATTTTTACATGGAAAATAATTTGGTTGGATACATAGAACTATACGTATAAAATTTAATTTTTAGATAACAGTTTATGGAAAAAACATTTTGATAGTAAGCCATCTGAAAATGGAAATTTTATATATTAGAATAAGAGTACATTGTTATACCCG